GAATCCTTAAAAGTAGATTTTCAGTAAGAAAAAAAAATTTTGTTTGATAAAATATATTGGTTTGTTTGTTTATTATCTTTTAAATCAAATAGGGGTAACTAAGTAAGTTAAGAAGATAAAAAAATTATTTTATTAGATATAAAATAAAACTGTTTAGCCTTGAAGCAATTTTTATATAGCTATTGAAATATACTAAGTTATAATTATATATTTTAATAATTTATTTAACTATTTTAAAGGCTATTTAAATTAATTTGATAAATTATTTTACTTTTAAACATCTTGTAAATCTTGTAGTAATTTTTATTTATGTTTTTATACGGATAATTTTAAAAAAATTTTTTATTTTTAAAATTTTTAAATAAAGTTTATTCTTTATAAATATCATAATTGGATACAATATATTAGAACTAATTATATTGTTAAACATATTAAGAAAAATATCGTATAAAATTTTAGTGGTTATATATTAATTAAAAAAATATCAGTTTGGAGTTTAAGTAAAATTTTTGAATTCATAAATTTATTTAAAATATTTATTATAATTATTAATACATTAATTAAATCCTAATAAGCTATAAATCAAGTGAAGCTATAAATTGTATTGCCATAATTATTAATGATCATTTAGCTATTAAATTTTTTTCTTTAAGTTTTTTTAACAAAATAATAATTATTTAATAATTTTAATTTACTATTGATAATGAAAATAATTTTAATAGGGTAGCCTATTATAAATACAATGTTAAATCACTTGCAAAAATCATTGAAAACAAACAATCTGTAAGTAAAATATTTAAAATGAAATAATTTAAATTTTTAATAATACTCAAATTAAAAAGAAGAAAACTAAATGAGTTCATTTGATAAGCAAACTTTAAAAAAAGAAATTAAACAAAACTAACCAGAAATAATTTCAATTTATTTATTGAAATACATATTATATGCATAAAATTATTTTTTAATTTTTTTGTACTGAAGCCATTTATTTATCCTGCTGCTTATTTATATCTATAATTAAATATTTTAATCAGCTATTTGAATAAATAATGGATTTTATATTTTATTGTAGATATTTATATTTATTAATTATTAAAAATAAATAAATAAATAACCATGTTATCATTCGATGATTATTAGTATTTTTTAAGCTGAAGATTTTTTTTGGCATTTTGACAAGTTTTTTTTTAATTATAATTTGTATTGCAAGAATAATAAAAACTATAAAGGTAGAAATAATGTATCAAGTAAAAGCTTAAGAATTGCTAAACTACTATAATAAAATATAATTAATTCATAAGCAAACAATCGATGAATTCTTAAGATACAATCAATATGTTTATGTAAAAGACATTATAAATAATCGTTTTTCTTTAGTTGTTCAAGCCTAATCTTTAATTGATCAGAATATAGTAGCAATCGAAATACTATATAATAACTAGATAAAAAAAATTAATCACAAAAAACTTGAGAAATGTGTAAAAATTTTAGAAAATTTGGCTGATGAGAAGTATATTCTTTAGTTTATTTAATCTATTTAAGATTTGGAGTATGGGAATGTTGCTATTGTGACTCAGAATTATGAAAGTAATTTGATAAATAGATTGTTTTTAAAATAATAAAAATGTTTAAAATACAATTTAGAAAATTTAGCTTCTATCCTTGAGAACAACAACCTTACTATGAGCTAGATATATGCTTTAACATATTAACTATTAAAGGGAATACTTTTATTCTAAGAAAAAGGAATAGTAATTAAAGATATTTAACCATAAAATATTCTCTACAGTTCTTCTAAAAATTAGTTTTTGTTAAGTAAATAATATTGATCTTAAAGATAAATAAAAATATTGTTGTTTAATAAATAAATAAGCCTATCATAGATTTTCTAAATTTATAGAAAACTCTAAAAAAGAAGTAATTAAACTTGTAAAATATTTTACTTTTTTAATCTTATTTAGCATTAAAAAAGAAACTTGAAGTATCTATCACCTTAAGTTATCGATAAGATCAAACCGTACAATACCTCTGTAAATTATTTGTTTGGTTTAAAGTTATTTAATTCTTTATTTTTAAGGACGATGTTTATTCTGTAGGGGTAATTATCCTCGAAGCATTACTTTAAAGAAAAATTTAAGGTATGGAGTATATAAAGCTGAAAAGTTAATCTTTGATTGAAGTTATTCCTGATATATAAAGTTAAAAAAATCATGAATTTGTCACCAATATTTTATGTAGAATGCTAGATCCAGATAGGAATAAAAGATATTAACCACTGATATTACTATAATAATTAAATAAGTTAAAAGTGGATGAAAAATAACTAAAATTCTTAAATTTAGAAGTTACTATTCAATGTAAATAAGAAGTAAAATAAGAATTTTAGTAAATAGAGGAATCAGAACAGCAGGAAATAATAGAGGAAGAGGAAGATCCTAAACTTAAAGGATAAATAAAGTAAGAAGGAGAAGGAGAAAATTTGTTACAAGCATATACCAGATTGGTAAAATCTCACAAACAGGACAACTAAATAATAGATTAAGGTCAACCTTTACAAGCCAAATCAAGTTAAATAAATCAAAAAAAAGGTAATTAAATTTAATAAAAATATTTTATTAGAGGCTAATTAATTATCATAGTTTTTATTTTGAATAAAAATACATTAATATAATAAAGCTTAAAAATTAATAAAAATTAACTGAAGTACTAAAGTCAAAAAAAAAAAATGAAGTTTAGAATCAACAATGTTTTGATTTATTTATATTAATAAAAAGAAAACAAGGTTTTGTAAAAGTGTGAAAATAGAATAGTATCATCTGAATCTGATATGAAGTCAGATATTACTGAGGATTAAATAGAATTTGAAAGCAATAAGAAGGAAATTAAAATCAATAATATTAAAGATATTAACAAAGCCGAACAATATGAAATAATTAACTTTGATTTTAGGTAATTTTTTATTTATCCTAAAGCCAATATATTAAATTCTAAATTTAACGCCTCAGCTTTTTATAACTCCAATTTTTAGGGTTTTATTTATCTAAAGAAAGCATTGCAGTTTAATTACTTACTGTAAAAGTTCATATATAAGTGCATAAAAATATTGAGAGTCTTATTTTAAATATTGAAATATAATTTTTACAAAAAATTAAAATTAAATATTTTGATGACAGAAAGTTTCCTATTTTTCATTTAATATATCAAAATAAATATATCAGAAAATAAATTTTTATTTTATACATAATGTTTAATTTAATTATGTTAATTTCTAAATATTATTTCAATAATTGCTAATAAATAAATAGTGATCATTCATTATATTTTAGTATTGCAAAGTGATTAACTAACAAAATTAATTTTTAGTAGAAAAATTATAAAGATTTCATTACGATCAATAAATAATATTAACAAAAAAAGTAAAACTTGTTAGATACTTTTCAATTTATAGATAGATAGATAGATAGATAGATAGATAGTAACCCTATAAAATCTAACAAAATCAAAAAATGCTGTTCTACCCAGATGCCAATTATCCTCCAATAATCAATCACATATACAATATTACTTTACGCTCTCAGGGCAGGAATTCTATCTTTCATTTTAAATATTCACATTTCTATGTGTACCACAGTTAGTTATCCTACTAGAAGATATTAGATGTTTTATCAGCAGCAGGATTTTTAATTATATTTTATTTTAATATTTTGATATAAGATTAACCATTTAAAGTCTTTTACAATTGTATTGATATACTTAAAAAATATTTGGTAATATCTCAGCTTGATATACTTTTTTAATTAATTAATTAATTAATTTTTTTTAGCTTTAGAAAATATTTTTATTAAAATAAATTAATAATTTAATTCAAAATTAAAATTTGGTAAGAATTGTTTAATTATATTTTACCTAATTTTTTTAAAATATTATTGTTAAACTGGATTAATTTTGTGGATAATACTCAAGTTTATTAACATTATATAAAATTTTCGCTTTTAATAAAATAAAAAACATTCATGCTTATTTGGGAATTAATTTTATAATTTTTATTATTATATCAAATACTATATTTTAATTTAATTAATTTAAAATTATATTGAATTAGATATGATAGAATTTTTGGGTAAGGTGCTTAGTTCTTAGGATTGGCTTTATAAAGATGTTAGAAAATGACATATTTAAATCTAAACTTTGAGTAAATAATATTTTACCTGAAATGAAATGCTTATAAATCAATCAATCATCTTAATCATTAAATTTTTTACTAAAAATATTAAAAGTGGCTCATATAACCTAAAGGATTATAATAAAAAAGACTTATTCTTATCGTAATTATTTTTAATAACTTTGTAATTTAATTTAAATTATTTTTGATAAAGGCAAAGTTAAATAAACAAAATAAAGCAAATGGAAGATGAAGGAATTATCTTTATCATGCAAACCCTATAAAAATGCACTAATTTGAAATCACTTAACCTTAATTTATCGTATTTTTCAACAAATTTTTTGATTTAAAAATATTTTTTGTAAAGTTTTATTTTGATTATAAATTAATTGCATTATTTATGAATAAGTAACAATGATATAAGTGTTAAGAGTGCTTAGAATATTGCCAACTATTTAAATTAATCTTAAAATATATTATTTTTGAGCCTTAACATTAGGTATGTGTTATTTTAAATATTGGAAACTATTAATTAATTTGTCAGCTCAAACTCTTTTAATATTAATATTTTAAAAGCTTTAATTATTTACGAGAAGGAGTTTCTTATATAGCTTAAGCATTGGCTAAAAACCAAAATTTAATTTCTTTAAATTTAAATTTAAGGTAAAATTTTTGATAAGTTATAATATTTAATTAAAAAATTTTTTAATAGATTTACTAGTATGGAATAAAAAGATTTGGATAATATAGCTGAGTCGATTGGAAAATTAGAAAAATTAAATTTTTTAGATCTTAATTTAAGGTAAAACAAATAAACAAACATTTTAAGTAAAAAAGATAAAAATCCACAAAATTAATTCAATTAGTTAAAATTTCACTGAAAAAATAAATCTCAATAAGTTAGGAAAATCCTTGTAGCAATGTAAAAATTTGGCCAATTTCAGTATCAATTTGGAGTAAAATTAAATTAGCTATTTTTGTGATTTAAACTGTTAAAAATTAATTTTTTAAAGCTTTAATTTCGTTTCAATAGAAGCGATATAACAAATCCTGATGGGAATAGAAAACTGCAGCAGTTTAGATTCTTTTTCTTTATATCTTTAGTAATTAAAATATGAAAGAAATACTATTTAATGAGTTTAATTTAATTAATTTTTATTATGATAAAGGTCTATTCATAATCAATAGCATTATTTGGCTTATTATTAAAGTAAAGTTTCACAATTTGTCTAGTGTTTATGCCTTGGATTATAAAAATTAGCATCAATCTCTACTCTTTTAATTGATCTTAGGTAATTATCAATAAATTTGTATTTAAATAATTCTTTATTAATAATTAAGCTAGAATCTACCTTTAGCAAGTAAAATAAGTCAATAAATAAATAAAAATAAATAAATACAGATATAAAATTTGAATTAGAAATAAATTTAAAATAAAAAATATAATTAATTTTTACTTGAATTTAAATAAAGTTGTAAATCCTTCTAATTTTTAAATTAAATAAAATTTATTTCTTAAAAACCTAATCTTCATTTAAAATAAATAATTAGCTGTAACACTCTATAGATAGATTAAATTAAATTAATAGCAGATTCCTTAAAAAAGTGCTAAAATATAAAATCTTTGAATCTTTAATTGAGGTATTTATACATATATACATACATATTTTACTTGAATTTTTTATTAAATTTTGTCTTAATATTAAAAAAGAGAAAATTGGGTTGATGTTGAAGGCTTAAAATATATCGGAATCAGTCTAGAAGAATCCTAGAATATCAATGAGCTAGAACTTAATCTTGAGTAAATTCAATTAATTTATTTATTATTTAATTAAATTTTTGTTTTAATTAAATCTTTATTTTTATTTTATTTTATGAATAGAACTTACAATTAATTTAGTTTTATTTTTCAGTGTTTACTTCAATTAATAATTTAGAAAGTTTAAAGTTTTATCTAAACTATATATTTGTTTCAAAAAATACTAATATTTTGCTCTAAAAACCTAATCAATTATTTTATTTGAAGTTTAATTTATATAAATCAGAAAAAAATAAAAATTTTTTATAAAAAGAAATAATAATTTAGGATAAAAAGGTTTTAATGACTTTACCTTAAGTCTATCTAAATGCATAAATTATGAATTTCTTGACATTAATTTAAGGTGAATAAATATTTGTTAATTATTTCAAAAAAAAATTTAAGTTTCTATATTTATGTTTGAATAGCTAAAATAATATCGGAATAGATCAGGCAGAATTATTTGGGCAGAGTATCTCAAAATTATAAAACCTCAAACATTTAAGTCTGAATCTTGAGTAAATTTTATGGATTTCTTTGACTAAAATACAACTTTTTAATTTTTCTACAGGTCAAATAAAATTGGAAAAGAAGGTATTAAAAGTATTGCACAAGGAATATAAGCATGCATAAATATAACATACTTGTCACTTAATTTAAGGTAAAGCTTGTTTTTAATCAATATAATATCGAAATAATCATATTTATTACCAAAATTTTTTATTTATCTCCATCAAATAAGAGTTTTCTTTTTTAAATTTTTTTAATAATTTTAAATAAAATACCCTTTATGTTTAATTAAATCTTTTAGTTAAGAGTGCATTATTTCAAAAATTAATAAAAGCTTTTAAGGAGGCATTAATTTAATAATATTATCTAAATTATAGTAAAACTAATATGAAATTGAGTTCAGTGCATGTTTTAGCATTTTGTTTGAAAAAATGCTCAAAAATTTATGATCTAAGCTTAAATTTAAGGTATATCAATAATTTAATTATATTAATTAATAAACTGAATAGTATTTAAATATATTTCAGTAGGAATAAGCTTTAGAATCAAGCTGCAAAAAGTATTGGGGCTATTTTTTCACAATGCTTGAGTATTAAAAAGGCTAGTTTACACTTAGAGTAAAATTTATTATTTATTTTTTGGTATTAAAATTAAAAGAGAGTTAGTTATATATATCTTAGTAATATATATCTATTAACAATTTTAAATTACATTAAATACATCACTAGATAGAAAGCATTATCTTTGTTTTTGATTGATTGATTGATTGATTTATAAAAATACTATAATTTAACTTATTTAATATTATCAATTATGTTTGGCAGAGGAAATACTTTTGACAATTTAGGACTAAATGATATTTCTGTGCACTTTTAAAGTTGCAAATAACTTCATTATCTTAATTTAAGTCTCAAGTAAAATTATTGCAAATAAAACAATTATTTTATTTACTTATCATATAATGTAGGTATAAGAATTAGCAATTTAACTAATTTAAACTAAATAAATTATCAGTTGATAATCAAATTAATGAAGTAGAAAAATAAAATTTAGAAGAAATTTTATTACAAAAGTGCCAAAAATTGAAGGAATTAATAATTTTTTGAATATTGTGTATTTATTACTTTTATTTGTTGTTCTTTTAAAAAATAAATAAAATAAGCATACTTATCTAAATATTCATTCATATTCATATTTTTCAATAGAAAAATAAATAATTTTATATTGATTATAAATTCAATTTTTTATTAGTAGCCAAAAAAGTACACTCATACATACATACATACATACATACATACATACATACATACATACATACATACATACATACATAAACAATTTAGCTCCTGATGAAAATTTAAAAAAAATAAATGAAAATTTTATTTGCATAAATTGAAAAATTTTAGATCGGAAATAAATATATGTTTTTATCTTTTTTTCCCACTTTACCCATCAATAAATAGTCTTTATCCCACTTTCTTTTCATTAAATTCTTTATAATTTTATACCTATTCAGCATATTATTATTTTCATTTATTTTAATGTGATTAATAATAAAATATTGATTGTATCTTATTATCCAAATATAATGTAAATTATACTAAATTCTTTGAAGAATATAATCTATCAATATTTTTAAATTTTTAATAAGTAATACTGGTTTTTTCATTTATTTATTTTTAATTATTTCAACATCAAATAAATGGACAAAATATAAAATGTTTACTATATTTACAAATTTACTAGCTGAATATATTCATCCATATTTTACTATTTTTAAGAAATAAGCTTAATTCAATTTTTTAAAAATTTGAAGAATTTTATTGTTTTTTGTATTGTATTAATAAGATTTTATGAATTTTAAATTGTGATTAAAGATTAATTAATTATTTATTTATTTATTTTAATAATTTGTTTTCTTTATAATAACTAAATAGATTAGATAGATAGATAGTTATTGAAATTAAATTAATAACAAAGTAGAAATAAAAATGTATTCCACTAGGAAATAAGAGCTCTTTTAATGCTTAAACTAAATTTAAATTAAATAAAGACAGTTAATTTAAGATTTCTTAAAGAAGTATGATTATATATACGAAAGAGAGATCTCAAAAGGCCACTTTAATATTGTAGTATAAGCCAAGTCTGCTAATAATCATAATTGCAAAGTAGCTATTAAAATCTTGAATTATGAGTACAACTCCAAAATAAATGTTGAAAAACTGAATAAATAAATAGATTTTTAAGATAGCTTGAGTGAAGAGAAATATATTCTTAAGTTTATTCAATTAATTTAAGATTAGAAATATGGTTTTACTGCAATCATCACAGAATACTGTGAAGGTTTTTATTCTAATAATCAATAATATCATTAAAAATTAAAATTTTCAAATATAAAATATAAAGCAACTTTAGCTTAAGTTCTTGAGTAAAACAATCTCACAATCACATAAGTTTATGCTTTAGCGTATCAGCTTATAAAAGGTTTAATTTTGTTATAAGAGAAAGACAAAGTCTTAAAATATATTGAACCAAACAAAATATTTTACAGCATATCTAAAAACTAATTTTTGTTAAGTAAAAAATTAATTAATTAGCTTAAAAGATAATTAAATTAAAATTTGATTAATTAGCTTCAATAAATATTTCTTAAGTCATTGATTCACAGTATGATTATGATGATGTAATTTTAAATATCTCTGGTTGATTTTAATTTTTTCTAAGCAATAATTAGGAAATTTGAATTATTAATCACCCGAAGTTATTGATAAGAATAAACCTTATAAAATTACTGTAAATATTTTATTTTATCTATTATTTATGTACCTCATCAAATCTTTTGTATTTAGGCTGATGTTTTTTCTATAGGTGTGATTCTTCTTGAAGCTCTACTTTAAAGAAAACTGAAAGGCATGGAGTATCTAAATCTAAAAACTTAAAATTTGATTAGTGTTTTTCCTGATCTTCCAAATTAATATAATGATGAATTTGTAACTAAAGTTCTAAGCAAAATGGTAGAGCCAAATCTAAGTAAAAGGAGTTATCCTTTGAGTTTATTACAAGAGCTAAATAAATTTAAAATAGATGAATAATAACTTAAACTTATCAATATATAGTAAAATATGGAAACTCAAGATATTGAACCTTAAGATTTAGATCATCAAGAAAATATTTTTGAGGAAGAAAATGTTTCTTATGTGGAAATTGAATAAGAAAATAAGTAAAAAGATAAAAAAAATAAGAAGGATTTAGATTAAAATATCTATGAGGAAGAAAATGTTTCTTATGAGGAAATTGAATAAGAAAATCAAGAATAAAAAAACAAAAAAGATTAAAAAACTAAAAGTAAAAAGGTAAAAGATTCAAATATTTAGGAAGAAGAAAACTTTTCTTATGAAGAAATTGAAAAACAAAGTAGGTAAAAAGATAAAAAAAACAAGGATAAAATGAAAGATAAGAAGGATTTAGATTAAAATATTTCTGAGTAAGAAAATGTTTCTTATGAGGAAATTGAATAAGGAAATCAATAATAAAACAATATAATAACTAAAAATAAAAAAGCATTAAATTAAAATAGTGATGAGGAAGAAAATGTTTCTTATGTGGAAATTGAATAAATAGATAAGAGAAAAGATAAAAAAAATAAAGATAAAAAGTAAAATAAGAAGGATTTAGATTAAAATATTTCTGAAGAAGAAAATATATCTCAAGTGGATATCCAAGATGAAACTGAATATAATTCTTAAGAGGAAATTAAACAAGAATATCAGTAAGAAAAATAGAAAAAAGATTAAAAAAATTAGAAAGAAAAAAAAGTTTTAATTAAAGTCGACATAAAATAATTAATTTTGAATTTAATTTTAAAATTTAAAATTACAAAAAATAAAATTTAAATATAAAAATATAATGACTGTTTAATAAAAAATGCATAAGTTCAAAATGATTTGAATCTGCTTATTTAACAATTAAAATAAGACAATTAGAAAATAATAAAAAATTTTCATATTGAAGACTGTTAGCCATTTTATGAAAAAGATGATGACGACTATCAAAAATAAATAAATATTATTGATATCAAATAAATACCTCAATAATATAATTATGGGATAGTTGAAATTGAATTAAAGTAAATTCTTAATTACATATTTAAATTATTATTTATTCATTTATTTATTAATTTGTTAAACTTGAAAGTTATTAATTAAATATTTTATGAATGATAAATTTTAAAGCTTAAAAATATTATTTGAATAAACTTCTTTCTTTAATAAATTTTAATTTATTTATTTAGAATAAAATATTTTTATTAGAGATATAGGTAGTGTTGAAGAAGAAATTATGAATCTGGTAAGATTCTTAAAAGAATGCTAAAAGATGAGATTTCTAAGTTTAAATGTCGAATTTTATTATCAGTATTTAACTATTAATTAATATTTAATAAATAATTATTTATTCATTTTTAATTAAATTATTAATCATTAACTTCATCTGAAATAAATTTAGTTATCATAATAGCTACGAATATTTGTAAATTTACTATTATCTTAAATAATTAACCATAAAATAAAAATTTTATTATATGTAGGAAAAGAACAGATATGTGCTAAGACTTACTTTGTATTTAACTAAATTTATGCTTTAATTTAGTAAATTTAATATCACTAAATCTAAAATTAAAGTAAGTATTTAAATTTAAATTTATTTAATTCATTATTTGATTTAATGAATAAACAAGAAAGTTTCAAAACTAATTAATTAATTAATTAATTTATCAAATCACAAAATTTTAATAAAATATTTTTTTTAGTTTAATTTAAAATTTAATATTTCTATATTCATAATGAGTTAATAGAGTGTTTAAATCACAATCTATTTATTATATCTAATCGATTTTTAAATAAAAAAATATTTATATTAAATTTTTCTACTTAAAAACTATTTATTTATTTAGTTTTTTATTTAAATTAGAACCCATTTTGTAGGAGAAGAATCTATTGGTAATTTAATAGGACGGTGTAAAAATCTTTGTTTTCTAAAGCTAGATTTGACAATATAAAATTCGTTAGGATCTATTTGTTAAGAGGTTCCTCAAAGAGTACCTAATATTTCTTAAGGGTTAGCTTAATGTTAAAACTTAGTTGATTTAGATTTGCGGTTATAGTAAACAAACTATCAAAAATAATTTTTAATAATTTAATCTTTAATATATTTTAGCGGAATTACTACTTTGGATATATTAGATATTGCTTATTGCTTAACTCAAATTCAAAATTTGAATTTTTTGAGCTTTAATTTAAGGTTAGAATATATATTTATATTTATTTTGATAAATTAATTTTAAGGATAAAAATAAAAATATATATTGTTATAGAAATTGCTAAATTATTTAAAGATGTCATCAATTTGTAAATCACTTGAAAGAGTTCAAAAATATAATTGTTTTAAAACTTGATTTTAAGTAAATATTGGTTTTAAATTTAAAATAAAATTGGTTAAATTAAATTTTATAAAAAAAGTTCAACCGGTATGAATTATAATGATTTAATTGACATACTACAAAGTTTTTAGTCATTGGAATACATGAAATTCTTAGAATTGGATTTATCGTAAAATACATACTTTAAAATAAATTTGAGAGTAGAAAAGGATATATATAGCATAAATATATTTTTACATAGGTCAAATAAATTGAATTACACAATAAATGAAACATAAATAGAAGACATAGTTTACAAAAGTTTAACTCATTTGACTCTAGATTTATCGTAAAAAAATATTAACTCAGATAGATAAATAAATAAATAACTATATTTTTTTATTAAAAAGAATTAACGATTTAAATTAAAATTAAATAAATAATATAATAAAAATCTTTAAATCTAGTGAAAATTTGAATTCTTTACATTTAAATGCACGGTAAATTATTTTTAAATAAAAAATAAATTTAATATTTTATCTTATTAGTTCAAACGTTTTCAAAAGAGGAGAAGAAGAAGAAAATATTTGCTTTGAAAAATTAAAAAATTTAACTCACTTAAGCATGATTTCAGAGTAAATAAATAAATAAATATTTATAAAAATGATATTAAATTGATTAAAAAGAATGAGTAAGTAAGTAAAAGAAAACTTAAAATTAATTTTAAAAAATAAGAAAAACGTTTTGTATCATATCTAATTCAGACTGTATTGATATGAGTTTTTATAAGTGTAAAAAATTAATCAGTTTAGATCTAGCATTTTGGTAAGTTTATTTATTTATTAAGGAATATATAAAATTATTTTTTTAAATATTATTATTAATTTAAAGGTTTTCATAAATAAATAATGAAGATTTAAATTAAATTGGATTGGGATTATAAAAATGTAGCCATTTAAAGTCTCTTAAACTTCTTATAAAGTAAACTAAAATTAATTAAATAAAAGTGATATATATAAAAATAATTTTAAGATTATATTTAAATTGGAATTATTTATTTCTTTTATATTTTTATACATAAAATAGGGGTTGCTAACTAGGTAAGGTTAGTT